TACCTGACACTGCTTCTGTCCTGGTTTAAGTGACACAGGACTAATTTATCTTGCAGTAATTTTACTTTTCAGTGAAGTCTCTTCTAATGCTTGGGAAAACTGCATTTTTAGAAGACTCTAGTGTCTGAATTTGTGAAAATATTTACTTTATAGCCAGCTATGCTCTGTGGGTTTCAAGGTCTCAGTGTTTCCAGTTAGGAGCGAGACCCGGGCAGTTGACCCAAGCTGGACAACAGGATTATTTCATATCATGAACGTCACATTCAATATAAATTAGCAAGTTTGCTGATGGGTTCTCTCTCTTCCCTGATGGCTATGATCTTGAGAACTCTTTGCCCCAGTGCTGGAGCCCTGAGCCCTTCCCTTCCTCCCGAGGCCGTAGCGCTGGCAGTGTCCCACATTGGCTGTCCCTGCTGGGAGTGCACAGCTTCCTGCTGATAGAACGGGCTGAGTATAATCCTTGTATATTTTATATTGGTATTGGGATCAATACTGGTTCTTTAGTATTATCAATGTTTACTATTTAGTCTTACTCTATTAAATCTGTTTACATTTTAACCCTCAGGTTTCCTTGTTTTTTTTTCCTGATTCTCCTTCCCAGGTGGTGAAGGGTCAACAGGTGATAGAATATTTGTCTAAACAACAGTAAATTGTTATGGGTTCTTGAAATCATAACAACTTTCAAAAAAGAGTAACACTTCAGATGAATTGGGGTGACCGTTAATATGAACAAGACAGGTACAGTACATGGGAACATGTTCCTTCTCACTCTTCCTAAACCACTAGGGATTGCCACTGCCATCTAGAACACCTGGAGCAGTTAAAAAAGATAACAATTTTGTTATGTATGTCTGATTCTTCTTCAGTATTTTAAAAGAGATAGGCAGGCACCTAAAATAATTTTCCTCCCCCACTTGGTAATTACTCCTAACTTTTAAGGTCCCATGCTTACTTAAACCTCTGTAGGACATCACTGGGTGTAACTGCTGGTCCATTCAGGTGACATTAAAGGACCAGGGTATAAAAAATTGCTCTCTGGCATGTTGTTTGTTATTTGGTGGTTTTTTCATGACTGGTTCCTTTCTCTTTCCCTGAAGCAGTAACAGGAGAGAGAGAGTGGCACATGAAGCTTTTGTCTTCTGGAAAATGCCAGCTCAAGGAAAAGCCCAGTGCTTGTTAGCCAGAGTACCTGCGACAGCTCTGACACGGAACCCTGACGACAGGAACGCCAGCCAGAGAGCCTGGAGAACGTACACGCCGAGTACACCGTGTCCTTGAAACAATATTTACTGTTTATTTGTTCCTTAGCCAGAAGGGATGCACATCCATTTTCTGCTTGTTAGGAGCCTGCAAAACCAGACCAAAGAGCTGTCCCTGGGCGTGAATTTTAAACGAGGCACTAGGGATAGAGCTCAGGATGGTTAACGTTGACTTTGAATTCACGTAAGCTCTCTTCTCCCCACACCTGTTACCTGATGAGCTGCATCGGCTCGCTAAGCCACTCACAGGTGACACACACATGGAGTTTGCAGCCTTAGAATCATAGAATCATAGAATTGTCTAGGTTGGAAGAGACCCTTGGGATCATCGAGTCCAACCACCTACCCTACTCTACAAAGTCCTCCCCTACACCATGTCCCTTAGCACTGTACCTAAACGGCCCTTAAACACAGCCAGGGATGGTGACTCCACCACCTCCCTGGGCAGCCTGTTCCTAATGCCCTATCACTCTTTCGGTGAAAAATTCTTTCCTAATGTTCAATCTAAACCTACCCTGTTGGAGCTTGAAGCCGTTCCCTCTCGTTCTGTCACTAATTACCTGTGAGAAGAGACCAGCACCAACCTCTCTACAGTGTCCTTTCACGAAGTTGTAGAGAGTGATGAGGTCTCCCCTCAGCCTCCTCTTCCTCATACTAAACAGTCCCAACTCCCTCAGCCGCTCCTCATACGATTTGTTTTCCAGCCCCCTCACCAGCTTCGTTGCCCTCCTCTGCACTCGCTCCAGCACCTCGATATCTCTCTTGTATTGAGGTGCCCAAAACTGGACACAATACTCGAGGTGTGGCCTCACCAGTGCTGAGTGCAGGGGCACAATCACCTCCCTACTTCTGCTGGTCACACTATTTTTGATACAAGCCAGAATGCCATTGGCTTTCTTGGCCACCTGGGCACACTGCCGGCTCATATTCAGCCCTTTGTCAACTAGAACCCCCAGGTCTCTTTCTTTGCCCAGCCTTCAACCGAGGCTGAAAAGATCTACGTGGGCATTTACATCCCTTTGGGCAGGACCAAAAAAAATCAGTCACTGCGTATGACTCCTGGCGTGGCTCATTACATCTCCAATAAGAGGGCTGACCTGCATTGCTCCAACAGCAGGTGAGGAACATTGGGGATGAGCTGAGCTATGTAAGAAATGATCCTTCACCTGTCCCCTGTGCTGGAGGAACCACCTTTGTCTCAAACAAAATAACCCTTTCCACTCTGCCCACGGACCTTCCCTGCACAAAGGGCAGAACAAAGCCTATTTGCAGGAGCTCTGTGCTTGATAGAATTTAAGGGCACAGAAAAATACGGGATGGTTTATTCTGATCTCCTCTGTATTGCAAGCGTTTCACCTTTGTAACTTGAACTGAAACCAGTAATTTACTTTTCACTGAAGTCGAGTGTGTTTAGCTGAAGGCTACCTTCCAGGATGGCACTGAGCTTTGAACTGGAAACATCAAAAAATACAAAATCCACTAATTCTCTTCCTAGTCTCCCCCAGTAATTAATCACCGCAGTATTAAATATTGGCACCTCGTTTCCCGTATGAATGTACCAGGATTCAGTTTTTAATCATGCATCCTTTCCTTGCTTGATTTAAAGGTCTTTTAGATGATACAGTTCTCCTCCCCACTAATCCACTCACTTTCCTTTTGATAATGTAAATAAAAGGAAACGTTCAAGTTTCGCATGGTACGGCATTTTCTCCAGGTTTCTCACATTTATAGTTTTTTTTCCACCCTCTCCAATTTTTCAAAACACCATTTAAAAATACGAAGGTGAGAACTGACTGCAGTATTCTAGTGTCAGCCTCACCAATGCCGCATTACAGGCACAAAATCATCTTCCAGCTTCTAATCACTACTCCCCAGCTCGGATATTCAGGGACCACATTAACCCTTCTCACTTTATGCTGCAAGAGGAACTTATGTTCAGTCACTCGTGCCCTAAATGCTTATGCCCTCATTTTGGGAGCCCGACTGTACGCTTTTGCAAGAGCAACTGGGCATTCATCCTTATTGTACAATTTTTCCCTTGACTATGAAAACGTTCCTTTTAATGGCCCCAGCCTACAAAGCAATCCAGGCTTGTCTAATATGCTTGCCCCACCCTCATTATCACCCTGCTCCACCCAACAAATATTATTAGCCTATTAATATGAGTCCCTCTTTATGGTCAGATCATTAGTAAAAAATAAATAAAAAACCTCTGGTAATTCTGAAAGCAATTGTTCAGCTCTCACTTAAACCCAGAAACATCTGAACACTAAATACGTCTTGGTTTTCAACAGCAAAATACCCCTTGTACTTCAAATTCCAGCCTACTGGAGCACTGTTAGTTAATTACAGTGAAAGGCATGTGTTTTGGAAATGATCTTTAAAAAAAAAAGAGGACAATATAGTTTTAACTAGTACCCAAGTACTACTATCCTCAGGTTTTATATCACAGAAAGCCTTTAAAACAAAGGTATTATAATAAATTGAATATCAAACAACACACCAAATGGTTTGTCTTTTTTCCCTGGCTGCTACTGAATGAGTCTGGTTCCAAAAATCAAACAACTCAGTGGACATCCAACCTGAGCATACCCCACAAGCTAAAGGTGGGCTTAATTGCACATGAGGGACTCGTCAAACGCAGGGGGTCTCTCTGGAGTCACCGGACCCCGTTTTCCATCAGCGTGCTTTTTATTTTCAACACTACAAAACAGTAAACCACCCTCTTCTCTGCCGAGTGTCAGTGAGTGATGAGCCACTCAACGCCAGGGTGGTGGGACACAAGAAGGGTTCTGCTTCCAGGAGAGCTCAGCCTGCAGCTGAGAGGCAGAACGTGATGGGGCAAAGCACTCTCTTAGTAACTGGAATCCACAATCACACGTAACGGCCACAGGGCTGGAAAATAAGCCCAAACACCTGGTGTCAAGCTTGGATTTAAGTAAAAATAAAGAGGCCATGAACTCTTCAAAAAGTCCCCAGTCCCAAAACCCTTCAGATAGCATTTCGGCGCATACTGAATCAAAGTGTGAATGTCCTTCTCTATTGATCTTCAGCCTACATCAGTTGGCCTACATACAGTTAATCCTAGGAAACTGAACTGCTTGCACAAATAAGGGACTAAACCCTTAGGAAATTCGTTGAACTAAAGAATAAACAAAATATCCATAAGACTTGATTTTCAAGGGCACGAAGCATCCACAGCTTCCACTTGAGAATACTAAGCATGTCTGAAAATTGGGACATTTGCTTTATTTCTGCTGTTAAGTTGCTGCCTCAGCTTCCCTGCCCTTTGCCTGACACACAACATCAAAATATTTCAGATGTGTTTTTTACAGCGGGGTACTGAGAGTTCATTCAGAGTGGTATGTTAAAGTACCTTTAAGGAAAATTGATTTATTGGCTCTTAACCTAACTTCAAAACATTCAGCCTCAAGCAAGGCTGATTTTTATCCCCTCAATAGCTAGTCTGTCATGTGGTTAGAGATGTCAGAAGACAAATCTGGTGGCTAAAGCTGTCTGCTGGTGTGAACTGGCAAAGCTGTGCTGGCAAGGCAGGGTTTGGCCCGATCTTCCCTCAATATTAAGTGACATAGTGCTTTCTGTGCTCTGCACCAGCCAGCCCTCCCCATCATAAATACTGAACGCAGTACCTGCATGATTGCTGGAGTGACTTTGCCCGTCACCTTCCCTGAGGACACAACAACGCAAAACACGCTTTACTGCGAGAAAAGCTGCACTCACCCGATCTTCTTCTTCTCTGACATCTGGCATGGTGCTGATGCAGAGGCTGACTGCAGTGATGGCAACAAAAGAGATGGAAATACAAGCAAAGATCTTTCCCAGGATCCCTGAGTGGGGGTTCTCCACCATATCCCTGAGCTTTCGCATGCACAAACTCAATCGGCTACTGTCCTGGAAGGCACATTGCGTAGTTTCACTAAATACCATCTCCCCTTCATACAGCCTGGCCTCAGCTGCCTCCTCCTCTTTCTGTCGCAATCTCTTTTTACAGCACCATTCCAGGTGGTCCTCTTCTATCCCCCAGTACACAAGCTCCTCCTGAAAAGAAAGAGCGCACATCTCCCTGAGAAGCCTCAGCTTCCCAGCTGTCAGGAAAGTCATGATCGTCCTGAAGGCACTAGGATTACGGTCAAAAAAAAATTCATTGCAGCTAACATCATAATCATCGCAGATGTTCATGATCTCATCGTAATTGTTGCAAGATTTTAGCTTCCCAAGCCTGGTCAAGGGGCAGTTCTCCAAGGTGGTCCAGGGAATTTTGTATTTAATACCACCTACATTGATGATCACAAACCTGGTCCGGTCATCCAGGCGGGCTAAGCAGCACAAGTCTTCCCCAGGGTGCAGAAGTTTGGCCTTTTTGTAGAAGAATCCTTTCTTGGTTTGCACTTCACACAGGTTTTCCAAGTTATTGAAGGAGTAGGAGCTGAAGTCAGGATCTGCATTCCCAGTGAGCAATGCCATTTCGTGACACATTCGTTGAGTCCATAGGGAGGTCAAGGCTACTCAAACGCACGCATCTGGAGCTTGACTGGAGAGTCAATCTGTAAAACAGAATTTTAAAGTTACAATAAAACGAGGATGTTGCTAGATGAAAACCAATCCTATCCTCTCAGTCCCAAGACACTTTTCTCCACGGCATATTTTTTTCCTCTATTATTTTAGAACTATCTTTGCTTGATGCTCGCCTGGGGAAAGAATTTAAACTGCAATAAGGTTAGAGCCCATGTTGATACTTCTAGAGGGTTTAGCCAGTGAATGAACTGAAACAAAACCAGTGTATTATCATTTTCAGGAATTTCTTTTCTAGAGGTTTGAGCTAGAATCATGAATAGAGACTGGACATCAATGGATGCTGGAAGGGAAAAAGGATCTTTTGAATAAATGGCAATTTACATTAGCAACTTAGTAAAGAAACTTAGTTGCAAGTGGTCTTTTGACTATTTTGGCCCATCTAAACAATGTTTCTATTACAAAATGCCTATAGTGTGAAGATAAAACGGATACCTACAGTACAGTCAGAAATGTGATTTTAGAAATGCTGGTAGTTCCCAATTTAAATTCACCAAGCTTAGGTACCAATAGCAATGAACGTGTGGGAGCTGAGAATCCAGCCCCGAGCCAGACCCCAGCTGGTTTGGGTGCTTGAGCACCAAGTGTGTGCTACTGAGATTGACTTGCCACTGGTACCCCTACTGACTGGATTACGGCTCTATTGGGCACGTCCATCTGAAAAGAACCACTTCTAAAAGGCAGAAGAGCTCTTATTCTCATGCTGGGGGGTTCCTGCTGTCCAGGCTAGTGATGTCTCCTGCAGGGAGGTGCACATCCCAGGTCTGAGCAGAGTCCAGAGCTCGCCCAGGACTGACCTGACTTATAAGAAAGTTCTTTACTGTGAGGGTGGTGGAGCACTGGAACAGGTTGCCCAGGGAGGTGGTTGAGGCCCTATCCCTGGAGATATTCAAGGAGAGGCTCGACGAGGCCCTGGGCAACCTGGTCTAGTTGGGGGTGTCCCTGCTGACTGCGGGGAGGTCGGACTAGATGGCCTTTGGAGGTCCCTTCCGGCCTGGACAATTCTATGATTCTATGATTCTACAGTCCTGAAGCTACAGGAGGCTCTGCCGTGGTTTTGACTGTGGGAGGTGGACAGGATGCCCACCTGGGAATGGTGAGGCATTCATGAATGGGAGGCATTCATTCATGAAAGAAATGGGAGACTTAGCCTAAGAACAAAGCAGAGCTGGAAGCGACCCACTTGCTGCTCTTACTCCTGAGTAACGCAGAACCCAACCGGTCACATTTAGCAGGAATAATGCCCATTGTGCCTAATTCCAGGGTTTAATTTGTGCCTTCTGCTTACCACTCCTTTACCACCCCACAACCCACAGATCTCCTGAACACATCTTTTTTCACCTGCCACATCGCTTCCTCACTTTCTCTAGAGCTCTCCACCCAGGTTCTCCAAAGCTGTCTACGTCTTGAAATGCTACTACATAACTGCATTAATGAATCACCCAAAACTTTTGGAATTGCTCAAATATGAAGTAGGAAACAAGAAATCTGCGTAGGACTGTTGAGACTCCACACAAAATACCCAGACTGAGAATGGATGCAGGGATGGGGAACAATCATTAGGTAGGTGATGTAGAAAGCGTACAAGTTGACAAACAGAGAAAAAGCTGAGTTGTGAAGGACAGTCTGACATTATTGATGATGAGATGGTAATCATGAGGCAGTAAGTCCATAATTTATAAGCAGCATTCTCCAATTCCCTTTGAATCTCACGCCTCAGCCTATAGAGAACACTGAATGAGTGGGCGCCAGGAAAAACTGGATAGCACACGCATTCAAACAAATTCCCAGAGCAGCATCTTCCTTTATCCATAATCAACTCACTAACTCTTAACTCATTAGACTTAGTCAAAACAATCTCCAACAGAAATTGGCGAATACTTGCTACTCACAGCCCTAAGTCACCCTCTACATATTCCTACCAAGCACACTCAAACAACACAATCACAGCAGTAGCAGCGGCCCTCCCGCTTCAACATTTCCGTGGGGATCCAGCCACCGAATTTTAGAAAGGCATTTATGTTGGATATTTGCAAAAAAAAGTCAGAGAAAGGCTGGTTTACATACAAAAAACCACTGAAGTCACCTAAAGACACTGTGAAAATTTCAGAAGAACTAACGATGCCAAAAATCTCTCCAATTTAACCTTGCACAAAAAAAAAAAAAAAAAAAAAGTACTGTTTAAAAAGTCAATTTATGCGGGGCAGTGTGAACAACAGAGGGAAAGCAGAGGGTAAGAGGCAGCAGCACACGTTCTGTGAAATGCAGGCTTTTACAGCCCGGGCTGGGATTGCAGATACCATTAGTGTCACAACGAGAGCGCGCCGTCAGCACAGCCTCTGCTTTAAGGATTTAGTCTCTTCTTGCTTTCTGTTGGCAAGATAAAATATTCACCGCCGCTACTCAGGGCACTGTGCTTTTGTTTTCATGCCCCACTTGTTACACGAGTGAACATACAAAAAGTAGTTTACATTGTTTTGACATCAGGGCCAGGGTTTGCTTTTCTCCTCTCCCCTGTGTCGCGGGTTGTTGCATAAAGGGGCAGGATACATTTAACAGAATTATTTTGAATCAAATCTTAAGTGTGCTTCTTCCTTCTTCCAAGGAGCAGCTAACTCGATGTGACAATCAGTAAGCATGTTGTTTACTACAAAATCTCTGAATTACAGAGGGTTAGTCTTTTATTTTGTGGATATAAAATTATGTTGGTTAAATGCAAAGCTTAAGGAAGTGACTATTTTTTTTTTTGTATCATCAGTGGATAAGTAGAAAGTGATAACAGAAGTAGTTACAGATAGCATTGCATGTGATTTATCACATTGATTCTGGACAGAACTGGTAGCATCAGATGCTGGAGTTTAGTTACCAAAAAGAATTTTCTGACCTCACACTTCAAGATCCCAGAATTCATAATACTATATATTATTAGTTGGTAGCATTTGTTTGGAAATCTCAGTAAAAAGATAAGCGTGTGAAGAGAGTGACAGGTATTATTCTCCTTGGCACCTCTGTGAGGTGGTTGCTCCAGACCAGGGCTCAGATGTCAGTGGGAGAGCATGGAAAAAGCTTGTTGTGCACTTTAACTGTCTTACAGAAAAACAAAATACATCACTGCGAGCTCCCGATTTGGCATCTATCCTGAGAAGTAAAATAAGCCTGGAAGGTCTCTTTCTGATCTTATGCACATGGAATGTATCATGACCTTCACTGAATATTAAAGGATGTTTCAAAATTATGTGGGTCTTAAAATACTCTCTGCATGCCAAGGTTATCTAATGTATGCACATGCCTACAGTAAAGCATCCCATTGAAGATTAACTTTAAAAGCCAATACTTCCAGAAATGATACCACATTATCATCCAGTTGGCATTTCTACCATTTAATCTGACACATGGGTGCAAGGAAGACTATTAAAGCACAGTCTGCAATAAGCTGCCCGTTGCGGGGACACGGGACAGAATTTGACTCTATATTTGTTGTTCATCATTTTAAAACATTGTGGGAGAGGTGCTGTATAAATGTTTCAGTTTGATGATCATACACAGGGTGGGTCATACATATTGGGGATTCTTTTCTTTTTTAAGTACAGTTTTTAAGTACAATCTTTTTTAAGTACAATTTTTATTCACTAAGAAGTACTTTCTTTGGCCATCTATGCATGCATCTGTGTGTGTCTACACGCACACACACAAAGTTCAGCCAAATTCTGTCAATAGCAGACAGTTGAGATCTTTAAGATACAGGTATACTGAACACAAGGAACAACTTCTTTCCTGTTGGGGTGACAGAGCACTGGAACAGGCTGCCCAGAGAGGTGGTGGAGTTTCCTTCTCTGGAGATACTCAAAACCCGCCTGGATGTGTTCCTCTCCAGACTGTTCTAGGTGGACCTGCTTTGGCAGGGGGGTTGGACTAGATGATCTCTGAAGGCCCGTTCCAATCCCTACAATTCTGTGATTTCTCATTGAAGATTTTAAAGATTAAATAAATGTCAGAAGCATACCATTGCTTCATATTCCCCTTTTCATTATTTTCTCAGTGGAGAGGAGGCCATTTCCCTCCCTGCTTCCTTTTCACCTTGCCTGCTCCCATGACACAAACATTCTTCATCATCCCATTTTATCAGTGTTGTTGCACCTAAGTCATGTATGTTTTGTACGTGGGTCCACTGGTCTCAAGTTGCCTTGAATAAGAATGAAAAACGGGGCCAAAACCAACCCTGCAAACAGGCTGGCCAGCCTGGTGAGAGCTTTAAAATAGTGACGATGGGGAGGAAGAGTTGAAGCAAAGGGTGCAGGGTAACACGGCTAGGAAAGACCTTGTGATTATTAGAGGGCTGAAAGGTGACCACATCAAGTGTATGCACATAAAATGAGGGTATGCCCACAGAAAGTGTCATGGGCGCGCGCCGTCAGCACAGCCTCTGCTTTAAGGATTTAGTCTCTTCTTGCTTTCTGTTGGCAAGATAAAATATTCACCGCCGCTACTCAGGGCACTGTGCTTTTGTTTTCATGCCCCACTTGTTACACGAGTGAACATACAAAAAGTAGTTTACATTGTTTTGACATCAGGGCCAGGGTTTGCTTTTCTCCTCTCCCCTGTGTCGCGGGTTGTTGCATAAAGGGGCAGGATACATTTAACAGAATTATTTTGAATCAAATCTTAAGTGCGCTTCTTCCTTCTTCCAAGGAGGAGCTAACTCAATGTGACAATCAGTAAGCATGTTGTTTACTACAAAATCTCTGAATTACAGAGGGTTAGTCTTTTATTTTGTGGATATAAAATTATGTTGGTTAAATGCAAAGCTTAAGGAAGTGACTATTTTTTTTTTTGTATCATCAGTGGATAAGTAGAAAGTGATAACAGAAGTAGTTACAGATAGCATTGCATGTGATTTATCACATTGATTCTGGACAGAACTGGTAGCATCAGATGCTGGAGTTTAGTTACCAAAAAGAATTTTCTGACCTCA